ATTTGGGGATGTTTTCAGTGGTTCAATTCCAAGAGCTGAAGAAATCCAGAAACCAGGGAAAGACTCACCTTTTTGTGTGAAGTCCTGCAGTACTTCCAGCCAGTACTTCAAGGCTCCTCCTAACCATTATGTAGAATTATAGGACCACAGATCTTCTGTGAGTTAGAATCACTGATTTAGAATTGGAAGGATCAAAGATTTAGAGTTGAAAAGGGCCTCAAAGATCATCTGGTCCACACTCCTAACTTTACAGATTAGGAAACGAGGCTTAAAAAAGAAATTACTTTTATAAGGTCACACAGATAAGAAAATAGATTATAGCAGATACCTGGATTCCTGGCCTTTTGTAATACAGTCTGTAAAGACCAAACTTGGGCTGCTGTGTCCAATGAAAATCATGCTTTGAAGGCCAGTAAAGTATAAGTAGTGTTCCTTCCCATGTTATAGTATAAGCCTTGAAGGATCTCAAGATGAGGAGCTGAGGTAGGAGCTTCAACTGAAAAGTCAAAGGTATCCCTGAGGTATTATTTCAATCAAAGCATCAAGTAGAATTTGAGGGTCTTTCAGCAGGTGGCACTATATAAAAATGAACACATAAAGCATACCTTAAAGCAGCATCATAATCATTTTGCCCTCAGATTGTTTGCCAAAACAAGTTATAATTGTTTGTCAGTGTGATGATTCAAAAACCCTTCTTTAAACCAGCTGAGCTAAGATTTCAGCTTTGACGGAAGGCCTGCCAAACTTTCAGGTGGGTCCACTGCTTGCAGAAAAGAGAAGGGGAACTTCTGTGGAGTGGTGCTTTCACAGAGGGAAAAACAGGGAAATAGATGAGAAATCTATTATGAACCAAGTGGAAAAGTGTATTGCTGCTATGCTACCTCCATGAAAGCTAAACCATGTCTACATCAGAAAGGAAAGAATACACCTGAAACCAAAAAAAGTCAGGCTTTTCCTAATAGGCAGACCACAACTTACGTATACTTGGATTTTATAAGAAGTCACATTTATAGGGCTCAGTAAGTTCTTTCAAATTGTTACTTTTGGCATTTATGGCAGGTGGTACCAAAATTAACTTGGACCTCCCAATCAGTCCAGACCTTCTTCCTAGAGTGTCCACTCATAGCTGGCATCAGGAATCTTCCAAGGACATCTTAGTAGAAAGACTTTTGATTTTGAGAATAATCAAATAATCAAAATAATCAAAGTCAGTATTTCAGCCTAGAATAGAACCTATCAGTCAATTAATAAACATTTGTTAAATACCTGCCAAGTGGCAGACACTGTCCTACATGCTGAGGATACAAAAAAAAAGACAAAAGAGAGTCCTTATCCTCAAGTAGCTTACAATCTAATGGGGGAGACAACATGCAAACAAATATATACATAACAAGCTATAATAGGATAAATAGGAAATAATTAACAGAGAGAAGACACTAGAATTAAGAGGGCTTGGGAAAGGATTCCTGTAAGAGATGAGATTTTAGCTGGGACTTAAAGGAAGCCAGGGATATCAGTAGGTAGAGTTAAGGAGGGAAAGCATTCCAGACATGAGGGACAGCCAGAGAAAATGCCCAGAGAGGAGAGAAGAGTGTCTTGTTTGTGGAACAGCCAGTAGGCCAGTGTCACTGGAAAGAGAAGTATGTGTCAGGGGAGTAAAGTTTAAGAAGACTGGAAAGGCAGGAGGGACTAGGTTATGGAGGGCTTTGAATGCCAAGCAGAGCATTTGTATTTGATCCTGTAAGCCACAGGGACACACTAGCAGGGGTGGGAAACCTGTGGCCTCGAGGCCACATGTGGCCCTCTAAGTCCTTTGACAGAATACATGTGGCCTCGAGGCTACAGGTTCCCTATCCCTGCTTAGAGTTTATTGAGTAGAGAGGTGACATGATCAGACCTGTGTTTTAGGAAAATAGCTTTAGTAGCTGAATGAAGGATGGATTGGAGTGGGGAGAAGCATGAGGCAGGCAGACCCACCGGCAGGACATTGCAGTAATCCAGGGGTGAGGTGATGAGGGTCTGCACCACAGAAGCAACAGTGTCACTGTTCCAGCTAAAGATCTGTGGTTTTCTGATTCTGCAAAATTGCCTGCAGAAGCAGGAGAGGATTGAATTGTTTATCACTGTTGCATGCTCCTGAGTCTCTTCTTAAATCTCCAGCCTCTGGTATGAATGTTTTTCCACTTTAATTCTAGAGCCCAAGCCTAGAAGCCATGGGAGAACCCCTCAAGAATTCTCCCGACTGGCTCTGAAGCCTGCCGCCAGGATGATTTTCTGCTTTGGCCGCAAGAAAGAGTTGTCTCCATCTTGTGCCTCCATCTCCCCATGGAGAGATAGCAGGGTCCAAGCATTCAGCCCTAATACAGGATACCTCATCAGGGTAAAGGGCCTTAGGAAGGTCCCCAAAGCTGCCTCAATGGGGGATGTGACAAAGGTGCAGCCGCTGCTGCTGCTGCTCATTAAGTAGGCCTGAACGATCTCTGGACAAAGTGAACACACCACTTCTACACCTGGCCTGTGCTAATGGATATCCAGATGTTGTATCTCTCTTAGTAGAGAGAAAATGCAAACTAAACATCCATGACAACGATAGTCGGACACCTTTAATTAAGGCAGTACAGCATCAGCAGGAGGAGTGTGCAACTATCCTGCTCCAACATGGTGCAGACCCTAATCTTGTGGGAACTAACAACCTTACACTTCACTATGCTGCCTCTGGAGAGACACAGCCATGGCAGCAAAGCTGCTTTGACATAAAACTGAGGGAAAGCAAAACAAGAACAGCCCTGATGATTGCTGTCTGTGGTGAACCAACAGGCATAGTCAAGTCGACTTCTTTATGATATTGATCTCTCTTGCCAAGATACATATAGATGTACAGCTGAGGAATATGCTATTGTCACTGGTCATTCTGTTCCTCACCAATAAATTAATGGGGAAACTTAATTAGCCCCTTTCACCCTATATCAGCAGTTCATGGAGAGGGTTTCTGATCCAGAATTTACTTTCAGTGGACCTGCCATGGACAAAGAAGATGCTTCTAATTGGGATTCTATCAGCACTTCTCAGAAAAATGAAAGTTACAGAAGTTCCCAGGATTTGAATTTTAATGGAAACTATCCTTGCCAATCACTGCCACTAACCAAAAATCAGTCAGGATCAGAGTTTGGAAAGATTCCTTTAAAAGAAGATGAAACAGGGGCAGTTGGTAGTGGATAGAGCAGTGGATAAAGCACCAGCCCTGAAGTCAGGAGGACCTGAGTTCAAATCTGACCTCAGACCAAACACTTGACACTTACTAGCTGTGTGACCTTGGGTAAGTCATTTAACCCCAATTGCCCCCCCAAAAAAAGAAAGGAAAAAAAAGAAGAAAATGAAACAACTGAAGCTGGAAGTGGCCTTGAGACTGGGTTTAGGGTTGTGATACTATACTGCCTCATGTAGTCCTTATATTCAAACCTTAATGATGGCTGAAAAAAGATAGAAAACAGTGCTCTAATTGTAATACGTGACTAAAATGCAAAATAAAGGAGTTAACTTAAACATACGGTTTTTTATTTTAAAGATTTGGAATCAAACTCAAGGCTCTGACCTCTGAATCTGGCCATTAATCTGGCCAATGCTTTGAGGGTTTTTGGAATTATAAAATCACAATACAGAGATGGATCAAAGACTCAAAAAATTCAGTGCCAAGAAGTACTGATTAATGTAATTTAAAGGGGTCTTCCCTGAAAAACATTAGGATTTATATCTGTTAGTGAACCTGTAAAGGCTGATGGGGTGGCAGCTCTAGAAAGCAGAAAACCCAACAACTTTTCTCTCTAATATCTATGCTTGCTAATACAGGGAAATTTACAGTGAGAAAACCGCAACAAAATAGGAATCTGAATTTTAGTTTCTCAAAAAAGTTATTTCAAATGGTCTTAAGCCTCACCAAAAATTTTCATTCTTGAAAGGTACTGGTCAAAATCTTACCGGAGAAACACTTCTAAATTCCATCAAACTGATAAAGGTGCTCCTTTACCTTCTGCATTATTAGAGTGATTATAAGCAGGAATTACAAAGAAGTTTGTACAGTACTCTAGATAATACATTAAATTCAATTTTAGATGATTTGTTACTATGTTGCTGTGTTTAATCTATCCATATAATAAGATTTTAAAAGGTTGGTATCATTCAAATTATAATTACTAAAATGAGCAATTTGTCATTTCTATAAGCCATTAGCCCGGGGTGGGGAATATGCAGCCTTCTAGGTCTTTGGGTGAGGCCTTTTGACTCAAACAGAACAAATTATTTTATTAAGGGGATTTGTTCTATGAAGTTTGGATTTAGTCAAAGGGCCACACTTGAGGACCTAGAGGGCACATGTGGCTTTGAAGCTACAGGTTCCCCATCCTTGCATTTGCCCTTTAGTCATGTATGTAATCTCCTATTATATCATTGTTCCTGACTTTCCTGGACTCCTTCAAGATTCAGCTCAAATCTTGCCTCTTAAGAGAAGTCTTTCCTGGAATCCCTCCTTCCAGTCCATACCCTGCTAGTGCCTTCCCTCTGAGATTACTGTTCATTTATATTATAAATATTGTGTATTTACATAGTTATTTGCATGGTATCTCTCCTGTTAGAATGTGAGCCTCTTCAGGACAAGAACAAGAGTTTTGTTTTTTAATTTTTTTTTAATTTTGTATCTCCAGTGATTAGCACAATGTTCAATACATATTAAGCACTTAATAAATGACTGTTGACTAAATGAAAATTAAGTTTTAACAGCACTTTTCCAGTTTTTCTTGCCATAAAAAAAAGACTGCCTATATTTATTTGGTTCCTTCCCTCTAAAAGGTTTTAATTAAGTCATGTTGTTTTCTTTAGTAAAATGATTCATTGTTTGGATAAATTGATTTCTATATTATTTTTAAATTGTTACTGTTTCTTTGACAAACTGTTTTTTGAGAACTCAGATGTATAGAACTCAGAATGACATGACTTTAGTGCTACTTGGTAGTATTCAGCATGTATTACAGGAGAGAAAGAAATAAAGGAGAAAATATTTCCATCAACCATTCCAAACAAATTTAGAGCTAGTGACAAACTGTGACATCTTAACTCTGAAATATTTAACTAAACACTCAGTATAAAAATATAAAGCTTTTATTTTATCCACATTCAAAACATTATTCTCCACTAATGAACTCTCTGATGTCTGACAAGGTCCGAACTGTACCTAAAGGCTTTCCCACACTGATTACATTCATAGGGTTTCTCTCCAGTATGAATTCTCTGATGTTTAGTAAGGGATGATCTGTCACTAAAGGCTGTTCCACATTCTTGACATTCATAAGGTTTCTCTCCAGTATGTATTCTTTGATGTTTAGTAAGGGATGACCTGTTGCTGAAGGTTGTTCCACATCCATTACATTCATAAGGTTTTACACCAGTGTGAATTCTCTGGTGTTGTGTAAGATCTGTATTCCGACGGAAAGCTTTCCCACATTCATTACATTCATAGGGTTTCTCTCCAGTATGGATTCTCTGGTGTTTGGTAAGGGATGATCTGTCGCTGAAAGCTGTTCCACATTCATTACATTCATAGGGTTTTACTCCAGTATGAATTCTCTGATGTTGATTAAGGGATGAAATCCGGCTGAAGGCTTTTCCACATTCACTGCATTCATATGGTTTCTCTCCAGTATGTATTCTTTGATGTTCAGTAAGGTAAGTACTCCGACTGAAAGTTGTCCCACATTCTCTACATTCATAGGGTTTAACTCCAGTATGTATTCTCTGATGTAGAATAAGATGTGTACTCCACCAGAAGGCTTTCCCACATTCACTACATTCATAGGATTTTTCTCCAGTATGTATTATATGATGTTGAGCAAGATTTGTGCTCCGACTGAAGGCTTTACCACAATCATTACATTCATAGGGTTCCTCTCCAGTATGAATTCTATGGTGCTGAGTAAGCTCTGTACTCCACCTAAAAGTTTTTCCACAGTCATGACACGTGTAAGGTTTCTCCCCAGTATGAATTCTCCAATGTCGAGAAAGAGATGACTTGTCCCTAAAGGCTTTTCTGCATTCATTACATTCATAAGGTTTTTCTTCAGTATGAATGATCCGATGTTGATTAAGGTGAGTCCTCCAACTGAAGGCTTTCCCACATTCAATACATTTATAGGGTTTCTCTCCAGTATGAATTCTTTTATGTCGAGTAAGAGATGAAATCCAGCTGAATACTTTCCCACATGTATTACATTCAAAGGGTTTTTCTCTAGTATGAATTCTTTGATGCTTGATAAGGGGTGATTTATCAATGGAAGATTTCTCATAATCATTACAGTCATGGGATTTCTTCCTTGCACAGATTCTCTGATGCTTAATTATGTCAAAATTATGGTCAAAGTTCTCACCACATGTATCACATTTATTGTGTCTCTGTCCTACAAGAACTCTATGTTGCATAACAAGGATTGAGCTCATATTAAAATTTATTCTAAATTCATTATATTCAGTATCTCTCTTCCCAAGGATATTCTTCTTAGCTGTGACATTCACTTGTCTTAAATATCTCTCTTGGATTTCTAATTGTGTCCATAACTGCCCATCATATTCCCAAGTTTGATCTAATTTGGAGTACCAGACATCACTACTTGTGAGTTTTTCCACTATCATCTCCTGTGATGATTTTTCAGAAATGTCCTGTTGAGGAACTGATTCTCTAGTTTCAGGGTCAGCCTCCCAGTCTGAAAGAAATTGAAAATGCAAATGTCTTCTGTTCCACATGCAGGGGAAAAGGAAATTCTATAGTGGCAATAGTAGAATGAAAAAGATAACAATGAGATCATGTTAAATGTGGCTTTGATGATTCTTAAATATAACCTTGCAATTTGAAGATATAATAGAAGAGGAGCAAAGGAGCAATAAGAAGGACTCATGAGTGATTGTAATGGGGAATGGGAACTGGTCCAGTATGCATAGAGAATAAGGAAAGCCTATTCCAGGCAAATTGGAAGATAAACAGGATAATTAGAAGAATAAATTAAAACAGAGGGGATATGGCTAAGAGGAAATATTACAAGAGGAGTCATAATTTGAAGAAATACTCTGGGATCAGATTCTAGATACTTATCACTTCGTGCCTGCTTTTCTGTAAGAGAACCCCGACTATTCTTGACTCTAGTCTCATAAAATTAACCCCCAAGGAATTTTAACCACCACTAAAGTCACTTTCAATAACAATTGCATGTCACTAAGAATAGCACTTCTTTCCCCAAAACCTTCTCTAAAGCCTCATTACGGCATAGTGGTGGCCTTGGTTCTCAAAACCAAAAGCAGGTGAGGCACAAGCTCTGGGAGATTCTATTAATAAAGACCAGTCTAGACAATGATGAAGATCATTAAAACGTTAGCCACAAGGTGATAATTTTTATTTGTGTCTGTGTATGCTTTTTTAAATAGAGCAACTCAATAAGACAATTTACTAAAGCATGGTGGCATTATGAACTGTATTAGTGAAAGAAGTTCCCACACTAATGAAATCACAGTTCTGAAGCTATAACCCTGGCTCTCCAATGTCCACTCCAACCACAATCAAAAACCATAAGCAATTACTCTGCTGCTATCTAGATGTTTCTTACACATACCTGGACTTCTCTTCCATTATTTTGAACTGTTGCCTCCTATCTCTAAGCATCTGTAAAGGTCTTAGAACTCATTGTTTCCTCCCCTTCACCTGTTAAAATCCTTGGTTGCCCTGAACTGTCCCAGCCTAAATGAAGGTGTCCTCTCCTTCCTCAAAGTTTCCTTGTTTCTCTACTTTTCTGTATAACATTCTAGCTTGGGGCAGCTAGGTGGCACATTAGATAGAGCGCCAGCCCTGGAGTCAGGAGGATCTGAATTCAAATCCGGCCTCAGACACATAACACTCACTAGCTGTGTGACTCTGGGTAAGTCACTTAACCCCAATTGTCTCACAAATAAATAAATAAATAAATAAAGCAAAACATTCCATCTTGTATATACTTATCTGAGTACATCAGATTCTCAATCAACCGTATACATTACCAAAGTAATGGTGCATAAATAAGGGTTATGCATATTTTCATCTTTATATTATTAATGCCTAGCACAGCATCTGGAGCATAGCAGGCACTCAATAAATGTTTACTGAATTGCTGAATATGCTCACAGGACCTGGGCTTTCCACAGTCAATAGGAAATAATGAGAAGACACCCTGATCTCAAGATAAGGCTCAATCCTGTAAGTTGATGCCTTGTGCTATGATCATCTTCTCCAAAAACTTGTCTTAATTGGGGGTCCTCTACTTTCCTAGGCTGCTGAGATTCACTTAGTCTGACCCCTAATACAAGAACCTCTAAAAACTACTTCGACTTCTTGGTTTCTAGCCACTTAGAAAGCAAGGAAGGCTTAAACCCTGTGCCCTTGACCAGCTCTCTCCTAGTTCTGACACTCATGCAATCATCATTGTCCTGCTGCTATCTATTCTCTGAAGTTTCAATGCCATTTTCCTGTTGTAAACTGTTGAATGACCCTTTAAAGACTACAGGGGGACATCTAGTCTTAAGTCTGGCAATCAAAGCCTGATACAATGTGGCCTCAGCCTACTTATATTCTATGACTCCCCCAAAATCCCTGCCCCTCTCTAGTTAGGCCAATTTCCTAACTGTTCCCCAGTTCAATTGCTAAACATCTTTCAGAGACCAAATAAGACTCAGAGCAACTCTTAGGATCATAAATTTAGAGTTGAAAGGGACCTCAGATGCTATTCAATCCAATCCCCTTATTTACAGATGAGGAAACTGAAATTCAGGGATATTAAGTGATTTCCCCAAGGTCCTGACAGGTAGTGAATGTTAGAGGCATTATCTGTACCTTGGTCTTGCCCCTGAATCAGTGCTCTTTCTACTGTACCATACTGCCTCCCTAAAAGAAACTTGCCTTAATTGCTATGGCTTTCACCAGTCTCCTCCTCCTATGAACTCTATTGGTCAAGATATCAGATAAAGCTCATGCCTTTGGTTTCCACCACAGGACTTAAGGGCTTTGACAATAGTTATTTAACCAATATTTCTATTATTCCAACTCTTCATGACCATTTGTTTGGTCCCCATTCACTTACCTGGACAGATATCTTTTGGTATTGTGTTTTCTACCATCCAAGGTTCTTCTTGCTCCAACTGGGAGATTATACGTGGTTTGGAAACTTGCTGACCTGTTTATACGGAAAGACATGGAGCCTGGGTTTTGTGCTTCATATCAAAAGCCATGCAGTTCTAGTCCCTTGATCTCTAGGATCTCTAAAGAGAAGGCACAGCAGCATCACAGTGAGTACAAGGAAGCTGCATATTTTTGACTCAACAAAGTACAGACCCTTCTCCTGGGAAGAGGAATCAGAAGCATGCTGTCTTTGGGAACAAATGGGATGAAGAAACTCTTATCCCTGGACCTCTAGGACAAGTTCAATAAAGCATCTGACAGATCTATAAAACTCTTCACAATTAAGAAAACAAGGATACTTCAGTAGCGAAATTCTGACTCACACATAAAACCCTTACCCAATGAGATAAAGTTTCTATAGTTCTCCAACATCACATCCCTGTAAAGATTCCTCTGAGCAAGATCTAGTTGCTTCCACTCCTCCTGGGTGAAGTCCACAGACACATCACTGAATGTCACTGATCCCTAAAACACCAAACACATTCCATGAGCTGGCAGCTTAAAGGATGTTAAGAGGATTCTAATAATGTTCTGATAATGCTCAGGGTTTTGAGTGTTCCAAATCAAATTACTCCTATGTGCTTAACACTGTGATAAACCTTTTTAAAATATTACTGTTCTCAGAATCACTTTTTGTGGCACCAAAGACCTGGGAAAAAGGAGTTATTCATTAACAGGAATGGCTGAAAAACAGCAGCATAAGTTTATAATCAAATGTTATTGTACTATAGGAAATTTATTGTTTAGAATTTTTAAGTCTTTCCAAGATTTCCTCTACAATATGCTAATTATCATGTAAATTGTTCTCTTTGTTATGTACACTTAACTCTGAGTTAGTTTATATAATTTTCCCCAGGTTTCTCTGAATTTGCCCTTTTCATCATTTCTTATGGAATTAATGGAATATTCCATTACATTTATATACCATAATTTGTTCAGCCATACCCCAATTCATGTATGCCAACTCTGTTTCCTTTTTTACCTATAACAAAAAAAATGTAGCTACACTTATTTTTACTCATATAAATCCTTTTTCTCTTTCTTTGATCTCTTCAGGGAATTTACTTAACAGTATCACTGGATCAAAAGATATAGTTCAGTGATTTTTGGACTATAGTTTAAAATTGCTTTCCAGAATGGTTACGCCATTCCACAGTTCCATCAGTACTTCAATTGATCCTATGATATTTAACATGTTTAAAATTACTTAGGAAAAGGCATAGACACCATTTTATAAAATTTTTAGAGAACACAAATGTAAGATAACTGGGAAAGACAGCCTGACTGGTGCTTTAAAGATGCTTGTTGAATTGAATAGCTAATATAATGGATGAAAGAGTTAGAATCCAAAAAGCTTCTGACAAGTTAGAATATTAGTCTAAGCCTAATAGAAATGTAATAGGAATATATTTAAAGTCTTGGACTTGAGCTAAAAAAGTAACTTCACAAAGTTAAAATAGCAGTTTGTCTTAAAAAGCTCTACAGTTTGATGGACTACAAACTCAGTATGATTCAATAGTGTGATAGAGCAGTCCAAAAAGCTAATGTAAGTTGAGGCTACATGAAAAGAAACACAGCTTCCAGGAATAAGGAGATGATAGTTTGTACTCTGCCCTGCTCAGTCAACATCTTGTATATTCAGTTCTAGCCCTCATAATTTAGGAAGAATTTTGATAAACTGATGAGTGTCTAGTGGTGAGCAACCAATATGGTCAAGGTGGGAATTTATTTTGCTAAACTATAGATTTATTTCTTAAGGGCTTTATTTTTCCTTTCTTTCTTTCTTTCTTCCTCAGTAAGGATGGGTAATAAGAGAAACATGTTACTAAAATTAAGAAAAAAAAAAAGAAACACATACAAAACACAAGGGATGAAAATTTTGCAACTAGGGAAAAAAAACCAGAACAATCACAAGTAATTACAATATTTAATAAAACAATTGGTATTCATGTATTATTATTCTGTGAAAATACCATGAATTTTAAAAATAACTTCAAGAAAAAATTGCAAATGCTATTAGAAATGAGAATTATTATTTCTAGGAAGGCACAGAAAGCCATAAAACTCTACTCAAAGTAACTGCCAAATTCTAGAAAGAACAGGCCTCCTGAGCTATTGCTGTAATCTAAATAGCCATTGGAGAATTAAAAGTCATTAAAAGTGTCAAAACTTTAATTAATTGTAGAACTTACCTCATTTTAGTTGTCATTCAAATTTTCTGAATATTTTAACCTTTATTTAACATAAATTACTTATTCCTATGCAGATTAATCAGCCAAATCACTTAAAACCATAAAATATCAAATTTCAAATAAATGAATCAAATATTTTATATTACCTGTACTTTATATTTACAGATCCAATTTAAGTTGAAACGTCAAAAAGAAGGAAATATGATGAAGACTATGTTTTATATTATTTCACTTGCATTAATTAACATGGGATGTCACAAAACAGACTGTTTTTTTGTATGGAAATATTCTTATGAATAGAAGTATGAAGCCAGCAAAACTGGAGAGAATACCTCACACCTATCCATACTGAAAATACACTTAAAGATATGAGCTCTTTTCATGGGAAGAAAGCTTGATTCCAAAAAGCTGGGACATGTCCAAAACCTGGATTTACCATTTCACAAAAATCTTTTCCTGAGGCATCCTATAAAGTTGCTTACTAAATTGGCAAACAAAAAAAAAATCCCATACTATTGGAAGGATTTTAGCAAAGACGTGCACTGGAAATGATCAAGTTAGTTGGTAAACTGCAATAGAAGAAAAAAATTGAAAGCAGTTCCATTGTCAAATGATATGATCCATTCTCAAACAATCGATGTTTTTAACATTTTGAAGCAGGTCACAGAATAACTGGTAGCCCTGCCATTCTCCTTCAGTATGCAAATGTATGAAACTACATTCATCTTTCAATATAACCAGCTTATTATTTTTGTTCACTGTGTGCATGCTAATGCCACCAAAAAGAATTCCTATTTATTGAGTCCTTTTTGAAAACTACAAGTCATCAACAATTTGGAAATAATAAAAGTTGTTTGTTTGGGTTCCATTTTGGGGGAAAAAAAGACTTTGACTAGAAAGAAAAGATGGAGCTCTTTCAATGTCTGGTAATACATCTAGTTTTGCTACTTTAGTGAAAAAAGGAAGCTTCTCACAATATCATCACTGATTATTTTTTATAGACATGCACTGGCAACTACGAGTCTTCCAACAATCCTGAAAGAAGTTTAGTCAACAGCCATACTAGTCATAAACTTGATTAAAAGCAGATTTCTGAATCATCTCAATAAAAAAATTTTGTTAAGAACCAAATGTGGGACAGTTAGGTGTTGCAATGGATACAGTACCGACCCTGAAGTCAGGAAGACCTGAGTTCGAATCTGACCTCAGACCAAACACTAGACACTTACTGGCTGTATGACCCTGGGCAAGTCATTTAACCCCAATTGCATTAACAAAAAAAAAAAAAGAAAAGAAATGGGAACCAAATATAAAGTATTTCTCTACCACATGCAGAAGTTCATTGGCTTTCAAAAGGACAAGTCTTAAAGTACCTGTCTGAACCTCAGTTGTAAAAGCTTCACTTTTTCTGAAAGAAAAAAAAAATCCACATTGGAACATTTTGAAAGAAAGTATCTTATCCACTGCTTGCTTTACCTAAACCAGGGATGTGGAACCTGTGGCCTTCTAGGTCCTTGGGTACAGCCTTTTCACTGAGTCTAAGTTTCACAGAACAAATCCTTTTATTAAGGGGATTTGTTCTGTGAAGTTTGGATTCAGTCAAAGGGTCACACTTGAGGACCTAGAGGGCCACCTGTGACCTCGATGCCACAAGTTCCTCACCCCTGAAACCTTTCAATTCAAGGTTCTAATGTGACCATTATGGATACTACTGAAAATTTACAAACTTTCTTGGCTAAGCTTGCCAATATATGGAAGAAGAGAGTAAAAGCCAACATCCTTAAAAACTTTCAAACACTGAAGAAAATGTTTTAACAAGAGGAAATTGAGATACAAAATTCTCTGTCAAAAGTTATTTCCATATTTATAACATTAAAGCTAAATCAAGGATTCACTATCACTTTCTTTCTGATATAAACCACATCAAAGGTGTGGACCTGACCTTGGTAAAATTCTCATGTTCCTTGAGAAGAGTTTATTCTTTCCTTGTAAAGCAAGCTATGAAGACTTTAATTCTATTTGCAACAACATATCTTTGCAGACTGAAATCCAACACTTGGAACCATCAAAACAAAACCAAAAACATTGCTTGAATGTCCAACGTGATATATGTTCCCTTGTCAAAGTCTATCCCACAATTTATTGTTCTTATTCAAGTTAAGCAACAACAGTCTTCACACTGATGTCTTTGAAAAACAAAATTTAACTTCAAGTTGCAAATACATTAAATGAATTGTCTTATTATTCAGTGTGTCCATTTAAAAGTACAAACACCACAAATGTGGTTTGATATTTTTATTAACATTGTGGTAATATTATTTTAATGTCATTGGTTTCCTTTGTAATCCTGTGTGTTTCATTTTATGTATTTGAAAATCTTATTGTGTAAAAGGGGCTACAGTCTACCAGACTGTAAAAGGGGTACATGACACAAAAAAGGTTGAGAACCCCCAAGCCAAATAATAAAAAAGAAACATTAAAAGTCTGAAAATGGAATACTGATATGATTTATGGAGAGATTTCCACTGAAGTCCTACTTTAATGTCTTATTATGGCATGTAGGTGACCCTGAGGTAGAAAGTCAAGGCCTCCAGAGCCAGGCTATGACAGGTCTTGCAAAGTTAGAAAGGCCTGGAGTATGGGCCAGTGAAAGTATATCTATCATCTGAAGATCCATTCTTGACAAGTCATGAAGGATAATTTCCAGGTTGGCTACAGAGTGATGATTTTTTTTTTTAATAATGCTCAAGAACATCTAACTTATAAAGGGGCTGTGATGTGCATCAATGAAGACAGTATTAACACTAATGAAATCACAGTTCCTTCGAGTACTGAAGTATGGAAAGAAGATTAATTTTTGTCTATTGAACAAATGGAAGGAATCATTGCAGACAACTATAGGGCTCAATAAACTTATCTGTAAAAAGGGGGTTGTTTACATAGATAATCTCTAGGGTCCCTTAAAACTCTAGTTTCTACAATCCTATAATATTATGACATTAGCTTCCCAGACAGACCAGGTAAACAGCACTAACCTTATGTGTCCCAGCTCAAAATCTGATATGGGCTCCCATGACCCTAAGCATAAAGGAGTGAGTGAGTTCTTTGACGTACCCTGCAGGATACTAGTTTTACTGGCACTTGTGTTAGCCCAGCAGTTGAAAGAATACTGGACTTGGACTCAGGAGACGAGGTATTATATAATACCTACTATGGTGCCAGGCAGTGTGTGAAGCACTTTACAATTATTATCTCATTTGATCCTCACAACAACACTGGGAGGGAGGTGCTTTCATTATCCCCATTTTACAGTTGAAGAAATGGAGGCAGTAAAAGGTTAAATGATTTGCCCAAGGTCATACAGCTAGTAAGCATCTGAGACCAGATTTAAATTCAAGTTTTCTCAACTCCATGTCCAACACCCTATCCACTGTACCACCTAGTTTCTTCTCATATAAGGGAGCACAATGTACAGTAAGCCCAGAAAAGTAAGCTAGAGCTAGCTTGTGATAGTCTGTAAGTTCCAGGCTAAAGAGTTTGTACTCTATGCTGGAGGCAATAGGGAGCCACTGAAAAATTTTGAGCAAGGAATTGACAGGGTCAGATTATTTTGGTAACTATTCAAGATGGAATGAGGAGGAGACAAATAATGAACAGGGAAACCAGTTATAAGGCTATTACAACTGTCCAGTCCAGAGGTCACAAGGGCCTGAACTGGAGTAAAAAGCAAGCAGAGAAGGCGATGGTTACAAAAGTGGAGGTGGAACTGAAAAGATTTAGCAAATAATTAGATATTTAGAATGAAAGAGAGTCAAAGATAACTCTGAAGTTACAAACCTGTGTGAGAAGAGGAAGAGTAGTACCTAAACAGAAATAAGGAGTCAGGAGAAGGGGGTGAGTTTAACAGGGAAGATAAACAATTATTTTGGACTTGTTGAGTTAGAGAAGCCCACAGGACAGCCAGATGAGACAATGTGAGTCTGGAGTTCAAAAAGAAGAATATATATGGACAAGCAGATTTGAGAATCATCTGCACAGAGATGATGATTGAACCCATGGAAGTAAATGAGATGACCAAGAAAAAGTGTGTAGAAAAAATGAGAGAAGATCCAAGACAAAGCTTTGCAGGGCATCTAAGCTTAGAATGTGAGAAACGGATGAGGAATTGACAAAAGAAGATTCAGAAGAAGCAGGAGAAAAACCAGACGACAGTAATGCCATGGATGCTGAAGGAAGAGAAAGGTGGATGGGACGGTCATTAGTGTCAGAAGCTGCAAAGAAATCAAGAAGGATAAGGCCTGAGAAAAAAACCACTAGATTTAGCAATTCAGAGATACTGATAACCTAGGAGAGAGCAGTTTCAGGAGTAGTGAAGTCAGAAACCATATTGCAAAGGAGTGGGAGGTGATAAAGTAGAGTTGAAGAGTGTAGATAATTTTTTTTTGTAAGTTTGGCTGCAAAAGTGAGAAGACCGATAGTCTGAGGGATAGCAGGATCAAGCGAAGGGTTTTTAGGGATGGGAGAAACATGGGCATTATTGTAGGCAGCAAGAAGGAGACAAAAGTAGAGATTAAAGATAAAAAAGAGCTAATAATGGATCAAAAGGACAAGCTGCTGGAGGAGTACTAGGAAAAAGTCTAGTCATGGCAAGAAAAAAGGTCCCCTTTTCTTCAAAGACTGAAGCAAGAGAGGAGAGAATAGGAGGTTTTCTAGGGAGTTTTTGAGGTACAGAATTGGAGAGAAGAAGGAAATCATAGTGGCTGGTCTCATTTTCTCAGTAAATTAAAGGATGGGTTCCTCTGCTCAGACTAGAAAGGCACTGTAGGGGTCTTTAAGAGATAAGAGGTTTGGAACAACTACAGTGGTAACTAGGAAAGTTAACTAGGAAAGAATAAAAGGATTGCCATGAAGTCATGCAGGTCCAGTTGAAATAAGAACATAAATTCGTAGTTGAACCAGTTAGCATGGTTGTTTGATTTCCATGGGTGCTCAAGCTACACACCAAGTAGGAGCAGAGAATGTAGATGGCAGGAGTAACCCTGGGTTAGGATTTGGTAAAAAATGATAGGATAACGTAGCAAAAGGTGCAAGGATAAAGGGCAATGGAGAGTTTAATTTTGCTGGGCAAAGCAGCTATAGGACAAGTTAAGGAAATATTTTTACCCTCTGAAACCAGCACTGGGAGAAAGAGGAAAGTCTCACTCACCTGGGACCAGGTTGTCATGAGCTCTGTGGCCATTCCCTCCTGCTTTGTGCTTCCCTCTATAGGAAAATCCAAGTCCTGAGAAGGCAGACCTAGAGAAGAGAAAGGAGCCATGAGGGAGAATATACTTTGAAGTCATGGGATTTTAGAGCTAGAAGAGGAACTTAAGTCAATCCAACTCCATTTCATAGATAAGGAGACTGAGTCCCAGAGAAGTTAAGGGGCAAAGAAGTATACATTTCTACAATGCAGTACAAAAAAAGCACTAGACTTGGAGTCAGAGGACGTAATTTCAAATCTGTGCTTGGCTACCTGCTATGTGACCTACCTAAGGCTCTAACATTGAGGCTCTGAGACTCAGTTTCTTCAGATACAATAAGAGGTTAGAAGGGATTATCATTATGGTCTCTTATGGCTCTAAATCTTATGACATTAGATAAGTGATTGTCAAAGACCACATAGGTAGTGCCAGAATAAGGATATGAACCCAGGTCCATTGCCCTTTTCAATATACCACAAATCCTGACTTAAAGACTTGACTCACCAAGCTAGGATTCCTCACAAACCAGCTGGATATGAGAGAGGCAGATGGAAGAGAGCCCAGAATCATCGCTGGCCTCTCCACAATCAGAGGGAAAGTCCATGAGTACCACTTCCTTCTGAGAAGGAGAACCACCACAAGTCAAAAAAAGGGAAATACAGGGTAACTAGGTGGCACAGTGAATAGAGAGCACCAGCCCCAGAATCAGGAAGACCTGAGTTCAAATTCAGCCTCAGATACTTACTAGTTGTGGGCCACTGGGCAAATCACTTGATCCCAATTGCCTCCAAAAAACAAAAATAAAGTAAAAATGGAAACATTAACGTAGGATTTCCTAGGCAGATCTATGGTGAAGAAACAAAACCAAAGACAGATGCCACTGCAAAATGAGCCAAGCAGAATGTTTCCTCTTAAGATATAACTAAGTTCAGTTCCAAACATAAGATTATACTTTGGAAACTCATCTATTCCTGTACTTTTGACTCAAGGCTCCGCCTATTTCCTCCCTCCTCCACTTTCTTTAAGTTTCTTAAAGGTTCTTTTCAGCCTTACTTCATATTCCTCACTTTTACACACTTTACACTCCAGCCAAACTGAGCTACTAAACAGTGACTAATTTTGTGCTTTCTCCCACCTTCCCGCTACAGAGCAGTAAGGAGTCACGACCCTCCCCAACTGCCTGCTGAAATGCGTTTCTTCCTTCAAGGCCCAACTCATGTATAAGCTAATAGAGTTATCAAATTTAAGAGCCAGAAACAACCTCTAAGATGATCGTCTAGTCTAAATCCCTCTTTTTAGAGAGGAAGAACCCAAATCCTAGAGAAGTGAAGTGACTTATCTAAAATCATTACTAGTTAATAGCCAGCCTGAAAGTTCTCCCTAGATCCTATTACTAGATATTCAATGTTCTTTCCACTACACCAGGCTCTCTTTCTTGATCCTTCCTCCATGAAACAGTCCCTGAGTTCAAAGTGCTTTCTTCCTTCCTTGAATTTACTGATAGCCCTATGTCCACGTCTCTCCTTTGCCGCTGTTATGTTCTACCTTGTATCATATTTATTTGCATAAATGTCATTTCTTCTCTGTTAGAACACAGTCTCTTTGAAGGGAGGGCTGGTTGTTCATTTTTGTATCTCCAATGAAAATGACAACAATGTCTTGAATATAAAAGGTGCTTAATAAATGCTTGATTAATTAAACTGAAAATTCTGTGGGAAAAAAAGAGGAAGGGATTTTTCCACAAACCAGGTGGTAAAGGTCCATGGGGGAGAGAGGAGAGAAGGGAAGAGGTTGCTGTGTCCCTAAAGAACAGTATAGTGGGGCTAATAGGACTAGACCAGTCCATGGAACTGAAGCAAATAACTGTGTGATAGGTGTGGTGAGAGAGTAAGAGATCAGCTAGGGTCTCTAGTCCCTTCCTACCTCAACCATTCCTTCAAATACCTTCCCCTGAAGTGTCTGTTTGCCTTTGTCACACACTAGAGAGGTTCCCTCCCCACACTTCCATATTCCCCCAATCTATTATTGCCACCTCTATCCTCAGGTATTTGATTCAAACTTTCCATGCTCATCCCTCTCCTCACTAACTTCTCTATGTTGTGACTTCCCCAAAGACTCTGTCCTTAGGCAGGATTGTCAGGAATTGCTCCAGTATCAACAGCCCTAAGAACTTCTTCCAATTTTTAATCTCTAGGTCGAAGCTTAAGCTAAAGGCTCCAGGTCCAGTGTTTCTCCTACTAATATGGATTCCTAGTCCCAGCGACATCCTCTCCTACCTTCACCTTAGAAAATCATGGGATCTCAGATTTGGAAGAGACCACAGAGGCAACGTAATCTAACCTACACCTGAACATAAATACTCTCTACTACATCTTCAACAACTGGAACAACTTGTTGCACAAGCTCCATTTTAAGGTTTTCAGTGATGAAGAACTTACTATTATCTAAGACAGCACACTCCATTACCTGTCAAGAGGATTTTCCTTATTATCAAATGTCCTCTTTGCCACTTCCACTCATTACTCCTAGTTCTGCCCATTAGGGCCAAGAAGAAAAAGGTTAATCCCTCTTCCACCTGACAATCCTTCAAATATTTTTAGACAGCATTCCTGTTGTCACTAGGTATTCCTCTTTTCAGATCAAAACTCACAAGCTCCTTTAACTTAGTAGCCTCATGACATGGTCTCCTTGTACACTTAGAAAACTTTCACTAGACTCTATCATTCCCCCGAACCCTCTTTATCTTTCCTCCCTTTCTCAGCTTTCTCTCTCTTTCTCTCAGTTAGAAAAAGCTACCTACATTCAATGCTTCCACTTCCTCTCTTTGGACTAATTTCTTGATCCTTTAAAATCTGGCTTCTGACCTCATCGCAACTGAAACTTCTCTCTCCAAAATTACCAATGATTTCTTAGTGATCTTACTAATTAGCAAACAGAATAACTATTTCCACCTCTATGGTTTTGATTCTGACCTCAGAAACTGCTCTCTCCAAAGTTATTTAGGCTCTCTTAATGATCAATTTTAATGGCCTTTTATCAAGCCTCATCCTTCTTGACCTCTGTGCAGTATTTACCACCCTCTTCTCCTTGATAGCATATTCTCTCTAGGTTTTCATGCTGCTACTTTCTTCAGGTTCTCCTCTCACCTAACTGGCCACTCCTTCTTGGTTCTCTTTACTGGATCTTCATCCAGGTCATGCACATAAACCATGGGTATCCCACAGGGTTCTGTCCTGGGATCTCTTCTCTTTTCCTTCTATCCGATTTCACTTGGTGATCTCATCAACTCTCATAGATTCAATATAATCTCTCTGCTGATGATTCTCAAATCTACTTATCCAGCCCTAACTTCTCTGCTGTCCTCCAGTCTTACACCTCCATGCCTACCGGACACCTCAAAATGGATGCCACACTGACATCTTAACCTAAAGATATCCAAAACTAAATTCATTATTTCCAACACCACCCCCAACCTTCCTAACTTCTCTATTACCATTAAGGGTACCATCATCTCCATCAGTTAGGCTCACAACCTAGGCATTATCCTCAACTCTTCACTTTCTCTCACCTCTACATCCCCATGTTCAATCTGCTGCCAAGGCCTCTAGTTTTTACCTTCCGAACATCTCTCATACATACCTCTGACACTGCCATCACATTAGCATCCTTTATCACCTCACCCCTGGACTGTTGCAATGTCCTGTTGGTTGGTCTCCCTGCCATAAATCTCTCCCCAGTCCAATCTATCCTCCACTCCACTGTCAAATAGATCTTCCTAAAGTACACATCTGACCATATCACCCTCCTATCTGATTAATGCCAACGGTTCTCTATTCTCTCCAGGATCAAATACAAAATCCTCTATTTGGTATTCAAAGCCCTTCACAGGCTGTCCCACTTATACACACACAAACACCCCACTCCCTCCTTTGTAGCCTTCTTACACCTTACACTTGTCCATATGCCCTAACTGGCCCCTTTGCTACCTTGAACAAAAAAACTCAACCAGGCATTTTTCCCTGGCTGCTCCCAGGCTTGGAATTCTCTCCCTCCTCAACTCTACCTCCTGGCTTCCCTGGCTTCCTTAAAGTACTAGCTAAAATTTTACCTTCTATAAAAAGTCCTTCTTGATCTCCCTTAATTCTAATGCCTTTTCTCTATTGATTATTTCCATTTTAACCTGTATGTAGCTTGTTTGTACACAGTTGTTTGCATGGCATCTCCCCCATAAGTCTGTGATCTCGAGAGCAGGAATTGTCTTTTTGCCTTTCTTTGTATCCCCAGTGCTTATAGCAATGTCTGATACATAGTAAATGCTTAATAAATGTTTACTGACTGAGTGACTTCAATGACCACTCTGCTCCTGGATACTCTCTCTTTTCTGGGTTTTTGTAACACCATTCTCACCTGGTTCACCTCTTGTCTGTCTGTCCTGCTCTTTTCTCAGTGTTTTTTTGTTTGCTTACCATCTATACCACTCCCTCTAATTATGGGTATTCACCAAAATTCTATCCTAGGGCCTTTTCGCTTCTCCCACTCTACTTTCTTAATAACCTCATCAGCTCCCTTTGGTTTAACTATCATTACATATCTCTATATCCAGTTCCCATCCTTACCCTGAGCATCAGTCATACATTATCCATTGCCTACTAAACATCTCAAAATGGAAAGACATCCTATAGATATCTCAAACTCAAAATAGAACTCATTATCTTTCCCTGTAACCCCTCCCTCTTCCTAATATCTCTATTTCTGTCCCAGGTACTTCCATGATTACAATTATCTCAGGTCTGTAACTAAGGCATTACTTATAATAGATTTCTCACTCTCTCTCACCTCATATAACCAAATAGTTTCAAAATCCTAAATCCTGCAGCTTTAACCTTCACAATACCTCTTACAACTCTACTCATACAGCTACTACCTCAGTTCAGGTCCTCATCACTTCTTACCTAGATTATTAAAACAGCTTCTTAATTGGTTTCCCTACTGTAATTTTTCC